CATCTAGTCCAACCCCCTGCTCAGGCAGGAAACCCTATACCATTTCGGACAAATGGCTGTCCAGTTTCTTCTTAAAAACTTCCAGTGTTGGAGCATTCACCGCTTCTGGAGGCAGGTTGTTCCACTGGTTAATTGTTCTAACTGTCAGGAAGTTTCTCCTTAGTTCTAGGTTGCTTCTCTCCTTGATGAGTTTCCATCCATTGCTTCTTGTCCTGCCTTCAGGCACTTTGGAGAATAGCTTGACTGCCTCTTCTTTGGGGCAGCCCCTGAGATGTTCATCCCTTAATTTTTTCCTCCTTCAACTTAACTGCTGGTTTTTGTTTTCTCTTTAAATGATGGCACTGACATTTTTAAGCTTCTATCGCCCTCTATAGATTCAGTTTTGAAGGCTGCCTGCAGCCGTCCAGACACAGATGCCAAGAAGCCAATTTTCTAGCTCATCTGAGCACGGCAAAATAGTCAGATATATTACCACTTTCATTACCTTCTCCATTACCTATTCTTGGTGGACTGTGAAAATCCATGCAAATTGGAGAAGGGAGTGGGTGGCAGCGCTAGCCAAGAGGCCCTTGCCAAAATCCATCGTGTGGACCATTCCTAGATTGGGAGGTAGATATCCTAGTTGGACTATCACAATGTGCTTTTTCAAGGTTGCCCTTGAAAAGAATTTTTAAAAAAACAGACCTGAATTGGCTCTGGGTAAGCGTTTGGTTGCAATTTGAGGTTCCAGTTGTCGCATCTAAAGCCCTACATGGCATGGGGACAACTAACTTGTAGGAGCACCTACTTCTGGAAGTTTCTGCCCTTTTCACAAGGTCTGGCAGTGTGGGGTCTATAGAGGAATCTGTAACGACACAGTGGTTTGAATGCAGTATTTTCAAGCTAACTCTGCCCACAGCCTGGAGTTCGACATTGACAGGAATCGAGGTTGACTCAGCCTTCCATCCTTTCAGGGTTGGTAAAATGAGGACCTAAATTGTTGGGGGCAATATGCTGACTGTGTAAATCGCCCAGAGAGTGCTGTAAAGCACGATGAAGCGGTATATAAGTCTATTGCTATCCCACTTAGGTAGGACTCGGGAGGTATAACTTCTCCATGGTGGCGCCTGCCCTCTTGAACAAGATGACCCTCAGGTCCTGCTGATAATAATAATAATAATAATAATAATAATAATAATAATAATAATAATAATAATAATAATAATAATAACAACGATGATGATGATGATGATGATGATGATGATGATGATAATAATAATAATAATAATAATAATAATAATAATAATAATAATAATAATAATAACGATGATGATGATGATGATGATGATGATGATGATGATGATAATAATAATAATAATAATAATAATAATAATAATAATAATAATAATAATAATAAAAAGTTGGAAGGGATCTTGGAGGTCATCTAGTCCAACCCCCTGCTCAGGCAGGAAACCCTATCCCATTTCGGACAAATGGCTGTCCAGTCTCGTCTTAAAAACTTCCAGTGTTGGAGCATTCACCGCTTCTGGAGGCAGGTTGTTCCACTGGTTAATTGTTCTAACTGTCAGGAAGTTTCTCCTTAGTTCTAGGTTGCTTGATTAGTTTCCATCCGTTGCTTCTTGTCCTGCCTTCAGGCGCTTTGGAGAATAGCTTGACTGCCTCTTCTTTGGGGCAGCCCCTGAGATATTGGAACACTGCTATCATGTCCCCCCCCCCTCTTTTGAAAGCCCTTGAAGACCTGACTTTTCTCCCAGACGCTGGGCTGGAATGTCGGTGGAGCTTGATATGTGTGTTTTATATTATGCTGCCGGAGAAAATCCAGTCCGTTCAAGTAAGGCTGCATAGCCTTTGGGAGGAGGATTCTTGCAAGCTTGCCCATTCTCTTCTATTATTTGAGATCTCGATGCTAAGTATGGCATAAATTTAAGCACGGGCAAAATTTTGGATAATTTCCCCTCCTCCCCCCCCCCCCCCGTGGATCTGTTTCAGTTATAAGCGCCTGGTTTACCTCGGGCAGGGTGTGAAACCCTGGGCAAACAGACGAGAGCTCTTGATGAAATGTCTTCCTCTTCTACCTCTTCTAGATCGTCAAGCATGTTCCACGTCATGAAACATGGACATTACAGTTCTCGCTTTGGCAGCAAGCCTGGATTGCAGTGCATTGGCATGCATGAAAACGGCATCATCTTTAACAATAACCCGACTCTCTGGAAAGAGATCCGTCCATTTTTCACAAAGGGTAAATATACCCAGTTGGGTCTTCCCGCTGTGACTCTGCCTTTGGCTCTGTTTCTGAACTGAAGTATAGAAAGCAGGGGTGTCAAACTCAATTTCATTGAGGGCCACATCAGCATTGCGGTTGTCCTTGGGGGGGCGGGTAGGTGTGGCCAGGGGGGGCGTAGCTGGAGTGGGTGCGGCCTACTGGGTGGGCGTGGCCAGCTCTACATCATTTGCGTCAAGGGGGCCTGTGGGGGCCTGGGCAGGAGTGGGACAGATCTGAGGGTCTCTGGCAGAAGGGGGTGGGACCGGGGCAAGGGCCAAGGCATGGTCCACTGGAAGAGCCTGCTGAAACCCCTCCCCCGGAGCCCATCAAGCCGGATATGTGAAGTAGGCGAGGGCCATTTGCTGGCCACTTCCAGGCGATGGTGCATTTCTTCATTCCTCACAAAGGGTGACCCCTCCCCAGCATGCACCCAGGGGACGGGGCCGACGCGGCAGGGGCTGGTTCCTCGCTGTTTCTAGACGGCCTTGTGGAGCTAAGATTGAATGTGTTTTAGCATAGATGGCCACCACAAAATTGTACATTGGCTCCCAGCTGGCCTGGGCCAGGGCCGAGGCAAAGGGGGCCATTCCCTCACTGTTTCCAGGATGGCTTCGCGGGCCACATTAAACCACTTCTGATATAAAGAGAATGAGAAAGAGAAAGAATATTATAGGGTTAAAGTGCACCTGATGGATAGACTTTGGAGCCTGGTTAGTTTTACCATTAGGTAAAATGAGATAGCCATCAAGTTAGAGCTGGACAAAATCTATTAATTTTTTTTTATATACAAGGAAGGGGTGAAAAGTCACCAATTCAAGCATAATACAGGTCTTTATGGCACTAAATAGGTCATCATAGTTTTCCTTTCTTCTTATATTTGAAGCAAAGATATATAGTTAGATGATCATTAGTTGGCATGTTTGTAAGTAGACATGTTTGTATGAATAGAAGAGAATACTTGTAGCTGAGGGTTGAACTGTGGGGTCCTTGGCGCTCTCTGAGCTTGCTTGTTTTCTTGCAGATGTTTCATTACCCAACTAGGTAACATCATCAGTGCTAGAAAGGAGTTAGGCTTGTGGGGAGGAGGAGGAGGAGGGGGAGGAGGAGAAAGAGGAGGAGGAGGAGAACGACTGTGGGGTCCTTGGTGCTCTCTGAGCTTGGTGGTTTCCTTGCAGACATTTCATTACCCAACTAGGTAAGATCATCAGTGCTAGAAAGGAGTTAGGCTTGTGGGGAGGAGGCGGAAGAGGAGGAGGAGAATGACTGTGGGGTCCTTGGTACACTCTGAGCTTGGTTGTTTTCTTGCAGATGTTTCATTACCCAACTAGGTAACATCATCAGTGCTAGAAGGGAGTGAAATTTGGGGGGGGGAGGAGAAGGAGGAGGAGGCCTGTGGGGTCCATGGTCTCTCTGAGCTTGCTTGTTTTCTTGCAGACGTTTCATTACCCAACTAGGTAACATCATCAATGCTAGAAAGACTAGCATAAGCCCCACTACCTTCTAGCACTGATGATGCTATCTAGCTGGGTAATGAGATGCCTACAAGAAAATAACCAAGCTGTAAATACAATGCTGACGATTGAAAGATGGTTTATCAAAAAAATTACAGATGTTATACGCACAGTTTGTTATACTCTGTCCTGTTAAAGAATATATTTTAAGTTTCTGTTTTTCTTTCTGTAACATAAGGTAATACTAATAGCACTGTTGAAGCCAGGGAAGTTGAATCATGTCCATTTTTGTTTTTAAAATGTACATTTAATAAAATTTGTATTAAAAAGAAAAATGAAAATAACCAAGCTCACAGAGCACCAAGGAACCCTCAAAGATGCCTGTTTTATTAGTTTTGATTTAAAACTATTGCATAAGAATATAATTTTATTAGGGATGACAATATGTCCTTTTTCCTAACTCAGGCAGCAATGTATTGTGGCCTGTTGGGTGCTAGTTAAGCCCAAACGATACGCAACAAATCTATCTTTCTATAAATAGAAAGCTAGAGAGGGAAATATAATCAAGACATTTGTAAAAATTTCAGCCCTTTCTGGACCGGGTCTTGTACGGATGATAGCCATCTGCGTTGAATCAGCAGTTGTACACCTTGACCAGTTGGAGAAAGAGACCACCGAGTTGGAACATGTCAACACCCTGAATCTTATGAGACGCGTCATGCTTGACACTTCAAACAAGCTTTTTCTTGGCATCCCTCTTGATGGTAACATATATAATTCTTGGTCTTCTGAAGTAAACATGAATGATTCTTTAGACAAAACCGAAGAAGACAATAGCACCAGAACATTCATTGAGCATACAGTGAAGGCAGGATGCTTGTTGGGAGGGTCAAAAAACGGATGGGAGGAGGAATAAAAGGAATCCTCTTTTAGGACGGGATGGTGGCTGTTCCTGAGGTAGCTTCTGGCCTCCAAGAGACTTTTCTAGTGTTGGGTCCCTTTGCAAACCCTGGCAAAGATGGCCAGGATTGGCAACAACAATGTCATGATGGACAAAAAAGTAAAATCTGGAGCCCATCAGTACAGATATGACTCGTACAGCCCATAACATTACTGTTCCTTTTCAAATGTGGATTTATAACCTGGACTCAGCCTATCTCATTCTTGTGCTTTCAGAACATGCCATTGTGCTGAAAATCCAGAACTACTTTGACGCCTGGCAAGCTCTTCTCCTGAAACCTGACATTTTCTTTAAGTTCTCCTGGTTCTACAAGAAGTACGAGAAGTCTGCGTAAGTAGCATTCATACAGTTGTGGATCAGGCTGTCTATAGCAGGGCTTTTCAACCAGTGGTATGGGTACCACCTGTGGTACATTGGCACCTGGCAGGTGGTATGCGACCATCCTAGGAAAGTGGTAGCAGGGGAGGGGAATGAGCTGAACCGGTGGCAGCACCGCACAAGCCTGAGCCAGAGATGGTTGGAGCTGCAGGGCTGTCAGGGCTCAGCGGAAGCGCCAGGATCAGTGCCGCTTTCCAGCTGATCGGCGCTTCTTTGGGACTGTCAGGGCTAGTGGAAGCGCCAGGATCAGCGACAGGCTCCAGCTGGAGCTCAGCGCTGAACCTGGTGCTTCTGCTGAGCCCTGAAGAAGCACCAATCAGCTGGAAAACAGCACTGATCCTGGCACTTCTGCTGAGCCCAGAAGAAGCGCCGATCAGCTGGAATGTTGCAGCATCTCCAGGTCTTGTGATTTACATTCAGATGCTTGGCAACTGATTCATATTTATGACGGTCACAGTGTCCCAGGGTCATGTGAAGTGACCAAAACATGCTGCAACCACCCAGCAGACGGGGGGGAATAAAAAACCAAACATCCCCCCACCCCATCCCCGCTGCCAATCCTCAACAGAAATGCTCACAATGAAAACCTCGGACAGGAGGAAAAGTGCAGCCGGGCGGGCAGGCAGGTGTCTTGCTCGGCTGTGGCTTGGGGGGGCACTTTTTTCAGTGCCGTTGTAATTTCGAACAGTCACTAAGCGAACTGTTGTAAGTCGAGGACTACCTGTACTTTATCACTTTTTTCCTTTTTTGGGGGGGGTGTCATCAAGTTTTTGACACCTTGCTAGGCGACTGGTGGTGCTCCAACACTGGAAGTTTTTAAAAAGAGACTAGACAGCCATTTGTCTGAAATGGTATAGGGTTTCCTGCCTGAGCAGGGGTTGGACTAGATGACCTCCAAGGTCCCTTCCAACTGTATTATTATTATTATTATTATTATTATTATTATTATTATTACTACTACTACTACTACTACTACTACTACTACTATTATTATTATTATTATTATTATTATTATTATTATTATTATTATT